AATAATTATATCATGCAAATCCCGAGGTGAAGAAAGGATAAACACAGTAAAACAAGCACACGATTACTGACTTAGAGAAATGAATAAATGACAAATTAAATACCATGTCAAATTTCAGCATTTCACCATAAGCCACCCCAAGATTATACATAGCATCTGCATAGTGCCAGTTATAATAGAGAGCCTTCTTGTAATATGCCACTCCTTGGCTCACATCACCTTCTAGTTTAACCTGAAATATATTGTCAACTCAGATGAACTCACAGCTGAACAGCTACTCGCCAATGGAAAAAGAAGGTTATGCGGTGGAAATCTTTACTAGTAGATACCAGAAACATATTCCAATGCGAATGCCGCAACATAAGTAAAAAGACATACAGCACAAAGGCAGCTAAACAAAACGATAACGATGTTTAAATATAATTTTCCAGAAGGTACCTGGCACCCATGAAAAGTTATACTTGAGTTACCGAAATTATGATAAAAGTTAAGGAGTATTACCTTTGTTCCTAAATCTGTCAGAGCTATGGCCATATTATTCTTCGCAATCTCAAAGTTTGGAGATACAGCTAGACATCTAATGGCAGAAGAAGAAAAAAAAGTGTCACTTGTGCTTTCGACAAAGCAACAAGACACCAATCAAAACGCAATGCAATAACAGATATGTTACCTCTCATAACAAGTGATTGCCATCTCCAAGTCACCACGATTCTTATAGATGACACCCATGTTACAATATGCTTCAGCATACATAGGCCTCTCAAGTGCAGCCTTCTCATAGCAGCCCAAGGCACTGTCATATTGCATCATTTCAGAGTACACAACACCTAGGTTGTAGTATGCAGGCTGCATTTTTGCGTTATGAATTCAAGGATCAGTTAAATGGTACAAAGGCAAACCACATAAAACTGAGTGAAAAAGTAGAGGGTCAGAAATATTACAGCATAGTGCGGGTCAATCTTAAGGGCTTCGTAATACTTTTGAATTCCTTCCTGAGTATTCCCAGCCAGCTTCAGGCTAGTTCCAAGGTCAGTCAAAACAATGGCTAAACACTCCGCTGCTGGCTTGTATGATGCGTCTGCCATCAGTGCTTTCTGGTAGGACTGTGCAAAGTATAACGATTGTAAGTTAGAAATTGGCCTACTTAGAAAACGCGATCTAATGTGTATCATCTAGTTAACAAATTTTCTGTTTAACTATATCATCACAGATAGAGGAAAAGGTAATATCACACCTCAGCAGCTTCTACGAGGCGCCCTTCTTCTTTATGAAGTATACCACAGTGTGTGAGGGCACAAGCATTATGTGGATCCAACCTGATTGCTTCGGAAAAACAATCAAAAGCTAGATTTCCCTTGTTTTGCGTCTGCAAGCATATCCCTTTCCCAATGTGAGCTTCAACATTCTTGCTATCTTTCTCTAGCATATTCTCATAGAGAGCAAGTGCATCAGCAAACTTATTTCTTGCCCGAAGAATATTGGCATAAGAAAGTGTATCATTCCCTTGAATAGCCTTTCGTGATGGAGACAAAACACCCGTGCTAGGCGAAGACCGAATTCCATTGGAAAAACCGTTCTCTACGACTGGTGACCTCTCTTTCTCAGTATTATCTTCCAGCCCAACCATTTCTTGAATCTAAAAGCTTGCTTACCTTCACGGAAACAATAAAAAGACTCCATTAAAGGTTAAATCTTGCACTGTTGACATAAAGAACTGATCTTTGACGGTACCAACCCCAACTCATCACATCTAATTCCAAAAAAAAAAACCTAAAGATCACACAACCGAAGAAGATTTACCGAGACGCACGAAAAATCTCAAGCTCAAACCAAAGTAGAAATATGCGAAAAAGAGAATAAACACTAGGAATTAAACTAAAAGATACAATTAAGCAGAAGAAAGCATCCGGAATTGAAAATCAAACCAAGGTGCGATAAATTAGGGTTTAACAAAAACTTACCGGTGAGTCTGAAAGAGGAACTTGTCTCTCTAGTGATGAGAAGTCTGTAGCCGCTAGAGAAGAAATCGAGCGGCTAAAGAAGAAGAAAAGGAAGATTGATAACAGCGAGTAGACATAGGAGAAGCTGATCTCCGCTTCGCTCCTCCGAAAACAGAAAGTGTTGATCAATAAGTAGCAACTTAGGGATTTATACCTCACAAGAAGCCAAGCCCAAGCCCAGAGTCGTCGCTTGGCCGTGAATAGTCGGAGAGGAGGCGGCGACGGCGAAGCCACTATGCTCGGGGAACAAGCGAAGGTACGAGGTCGGTCCGAGCCAGCTGACAGAGGCAACGACTCAGATTAGCTCTCCTGGCTTGT